GTCAGAGCGTCCCCACGACACCCCAGCGAGCCCTCCACTGACAGAGGTGGTAAGACAGGTGGGAGGACCTGCGGTGTCCAGTGCCTGGGGCAGGTCACGCCTTGCTCACACCCACGTGCAGGAGGGACACCCCCTGGATACAGACAGAGCTGAAGCGGGCCTCAGAGATCATGCAGACCAACCAATTTTACACACAGGGAAACCGAGGCCTAGAGAGGTCAGGGCAACGGGGCCAGCTTGCAATTGTTGGTTGGTGGTTGGTCGGCACCAGCACCTAGCTGGCCTTCTGATACCTGGATAATGGCTGACTCCATGGCCTGTAAAGTCAGGGGTAAAGAGGAATCTGCCCCTCTGGGTCCTTCCCTGATCTTGCTTGTCCCAGGTCATGCTTCGGGGTTGTTGCCTGGGTACGTGTTGGATTCCCATGTCCTGGTCTGAAAGCTGATCTTTCCCCAGCCCAGTGACTCCCAGGGAGCTGGGGGGTGCAGGAAGGGAGGGTCGTTCCAAGTCACTGGTGCCCCATCCTCTTTAAAACATGGAGGGAGCACAGGAGTGAGGAGATGTGGGTGCTGGCAGCCTCGTGACGTGAGCCAGGTGCTGTCCTGCCCTGGAACGCGGCTGCCGCTCACTTCCCGAGCTGGCCGTGAATCCAATGAGGTGTTAAGAAGAGGCGACATTTGTGAGCACTTGCTGGGCGCCGGCCCTGTTCTGAGACCCACCCGACTGAGGTTCCCCACAACACCGTAAGGTGGGCACGGTTATCCTCCTTTGACCGCTGAGGAAACAGAGCTCAGGCCAGGCAGCTGGCGAGCGCGGAGCTGGGATTTGAACCCGTGCAGTCGGGCTCCTGAGCAGTGTCACCACCCCAGACCATGCCAGCAGACTGAGTAAAAACTGTTTGTAAGTGGTTTCAAACCATCACAAATATGAGCTGTTGTTCAACTACTAATATTGCTAGACTTTAAGGTGAGGCCATGTGTCTATTAGTAATAACACTGCTGATCTTTAGACCTAAGACCCTGTGCTGCGCAGCCGTTACCTGCTTCCCTGTGGCACCAGGTGAGGGGGGCAGGCTGGGCTCTGTAGGGTGTCGCCCCAGCAGCCTCCGGTGGGGGGGAGGGGCTCCAGTCCTTGCTGACAAAACTCAGACATTCCTGAGACGGTGTGGGTGGAAAATGCTTCTCTCCACCCCCTACCCCACTTCTCCGCAAACTCACTCTGGCCTCTCCTGAGGAGCAATAGCATTTCTGTGACCAAATAGAAATAGGGGAGCTTCCATATTTTTAAATGAATAAAGGCAAATAATGCAAGGCTTTCCAGCAGCAGGGTCCTTCCTGGTGCCAGGCTCAGCGCTGGGCACTTTGGATGCATCCGCTCACCGAGTCCCCATGGCAGCCTCCCTCGGAGCGGGGAGCTGTCATCACGTAGACCCTTTTTACCCCCGAGAAGACCGCCACATGCATCATTAAAGTGAAGTGGCTGCCCACCTCTCTCAGCGCACCGAAGTCCCCATAGTCGGCTGCGGTGGTGGAGGGCAGGGGCTTTGAAGACCGGCAGGGGTTGAGTGCTCCCGTCTTGTCTGTTCGCTCACTCACTTGACACACATTTCCTGAGTGCCTCCGCTCAGACGTCCCTTCCTCAGAGATGCCTTTCCAGACCATAAAATGGCGGCCTTCCAGCTTGCAACACTGCTTCCCAGCATGTTACTTCTCTTTGTATCATGTATCCCCACGGGCCATTGTACGTTTCTTTCTTTCTTTAGTATCCGGCCCTTCCACAAGAAATATAAACTCCACAAGAGGACACACTTTGTTTATTTTGTTTGCTGCTGCATCCCTGACACCTAGAACAGAGTCTGGTACAGAGAAGGCACTCAGTAAGTGGATGTCACTCTGTGAATGAATGAATGAATGAATGCAATGGGCGCTCTCAAACCCAGGCCCTCACCGCCACCGCTTTCTTCCTGTTCCCCACCCCCCCGTGCTGAGTCTGACCCGGTGGCTTTGGGCAATTCACTTCCTCTCTGGACCTCAATTTTCTCATACAGAAAATGAGAATATTGCTAGGGCCCTTCAACCTTTACTATTCTGAGTGTCAGACTCTGTTGTCATCGAGCGTGTTTCTGGGCACAGAAGGTTCCAGTCGTGATTGCCGCCCAGCCCAGGGGCTCCACTTGCAAATTTGCACCAGCACTTTTCGCCTTGCAAACCTGATGGCCCAGGAGGACCCGGCCCCCCTCCTGTGATGCAGATGCTCACACATATCTTGGGAAGAAGGAAGAAGCTCCTACTGAGCTGACGTCTAGGGTTTCCATGATGCTGCTGTGGGTGTCCTTCCCTTTACCAGAATGTGTTGATTTTGTCCTTGAGTCCTCCTAGTTTAAAGGAGGCTTGTCCCCCCTCTGCAGCCCTTTCTCTGTTGGTGACCAGAGCTGCCACTCTCTCGGCTATTTATGAGGAAGCTTCTCCTCCAGTTGGTCAGCATCAGGATAAATTCTGCAGACTTGTGGGAATCCCCTCTGGTTTTCTCCAGTTGTGGGATGACAGGCAGTAAATCACGCTTAATGCACTGCAGATTTGTCCTGATCAAATTCCACTGCAGCCACAGTACCTGGAGTTAGGCTCTGAGCTGGTACCCTGGTGATTGCTGTCTCCAGAGGGACCCCAACCCTTCTCCCCAGTTCTAGTTTTTAATAAAAACTCTTGTCTAAGCTATAGGGGAGATGGGGTAGCCAGCCAGCCAGACACTGCATGGACCTTAGGTTTTCTCCATTTGAGTGCCTGGCGACAGGGACTTGCTGACTGGGGAAAGCGAGGGGCTCATCCTGCAGCCCCAGCAAGAACACAGGCCTCCCTATTGCATAACACCTAGGGGCACCATTTCCTTATGTAGCATGGGCAATTCGGCAGCCAGGGAAGGCTGAGGGATGAAGGGTCCTTGGACACACACTCCCTCCAGGACACAGTGGAACGTTCCACTGACCCGATGTGGAGTGAAGTCCCAACAGAGAGCTGCGTTTCTTATAAGGAATTCTGAGGTCTTTTAGGCAGACTGGTTCTTTCTCAGTCACTCCAAAGCCCAAGACCTTGACTGTTCCTGGGGTGGACGGGGGGTAGTCACTGAAGACTCACTGTCTCCCTTGGATGAGGAAGGCAGGGAGGTGTCACCTGCTGCTGTGGTCCACGGCCTGGCCCAGAGAGGGCTGGCGAACCACACAGACCAACATGAACTGTCCCCATCTGTTGGGTCTCCCAGCGTCACTACATGTGTAACAGGATCTGGCTGGGCAGGTCCCCTTGAAGTCTGGGTCTTTACCCGAGTGGGCCAGGAGGTGTGGGGTAAGCTTCCACTGCGAGGTGCCATTGCCCGTGCTGTTCCGATGGCGCCGATGAGGAGAACAGACGGGAGCACAGCTTCCAGAGGCGGCTCCTTCCCTTAGTAAGGCAATTACAGAGCTGGGTAATTTACATACCTCGAAAGATGCAGGGCAACGGCAGGCTGGGGTGTATGTGTGTTTAATTTTAAATCCTCCAACCTCCCCTTAACGAGGAGGTGCTTTGAAACATAGCAGCATGTTGCTATCCTTCAAAGGACTCATTTCCTTGGTGCCTTATTTCTTTAAGGGAAGGCATGAAAGATGGATGAGGAATGGCAGGAGCCGGGGTGCGTTTTGCCTCCCCCGCCTGCACTGTGCAGACATTATCTGCTGTAAAACTGTCACCGGAGGATGGAGAACTGGCTCTGGGCTGCAGTGGCCCTCAGATAATGTCAGTGCTGAGCGATGACCCAGCATTTGTTGGCACTCCGCAAACACCTCTGGGGCGGTGGTGTCAGAGTCCTTAGCAAAACCTGGTCAGTGCTCCTGCTGGAGAAATGAAAGGGACGCAGGGGCTGGTACGCAGGGTCCCCGCAGTGAGAGCACTAGCCTTTTTTTTTTTTTTTTTTTGCAAGCATTAATGTCTCTTTGAATCACCTGAGGGTTCTGTAAAAATACAGAGACTGATTCAGTAGGTCTGGGAGTGGGCCTGGGATTCTGCATTTCTAACAAGCTCCCTGTGATACTCCTGGCCCATGAACTGTAGTTTGAATAGAAAGACCCTAGAGAAGGCAGACACCAGCTTCCCTGGGTCCCAACAGGTGGCTTAGCTACATAGAGCTCAGGAGGGCTAGGGCTTGGCCACCAGCCTGCACCGCCTGGGAGGAGAGGGCTGTGGGGGCCTCTGAAGGGTCTTGAACACTCTAGGACATGCAGTTATGAGAGGGGGCAGTATCATCATGGACGGCCCTTTATTTGGGTTTGGTGACTGGTTTGGCTTCTTCTACCCCAATAGGTTTACCTTTCTTCCTTCCTTATTTCCTTCCTTCCAACCTACCTTCCTTCCTTCCTTCTTTCTTTCTTTCTTTCTT